CCGAGATCATGTTGATTTCTATTTTTTTTTTGGACTGAGTTTTCAAAAAATTAACGACTTTATTCCAACTTTTGTACACAACCCCACTTACCCCTGTGAAGCTAATTCAGCTGTTGTAGATTCATCTAGGAGGGCTCCACGAGGAAAAAAGGATGACTGCTTTTTTCCAATTCACCATACTTAATTTTCTCGACCTGGGCGCAAATAATAAATCGAAATGGTGAAGGCCGTATGAATGTTTGGATGACTAAAGGTGGGATGACGGTGTTTGTAGAAAAATCGGCAAAACAGTGGCTTTGCGAGACTTATCGTTATCTTCCAGACGCCAAGAACCTTCTCCTTCGCGTTCGAGTGCGGGCAGCTCGGCTCGAGTACAAGAACCAACATCCCTGAAGAACTATGCTGTCTACCGATCGTCGGAATTGTAGCGTCGTTTTCTGTCGCAGGCGAAGGTGTTGCAGAGCGAAGTAGCGCACTATCATGCACTCGTGTTCCGGGGATCGAAATTCGGACTATTACTCGCTCAAACCAAAAGCCTCCCATCTCTCAGGACTTTAAGTCAGTTAGTGAGTGAAAGACCCGTCTGGGAAGATAAAAACACTGGTTGCCTACCGGCTGGCCATCTCAAGGCTACTATTTGGTTCAAGCAATCCTTCATCAGTACCGGCGAGCATCCATTATGTATGGGTCAGGCAAGGCGTTATGGCGGTTAACTTTTACAATATTCAATCCTTCTCCTTTATTCGTTTCTATTCTTAGTAGACAACGAATAAGAATGTAGAGAAATTGAAGTTTTTTGAATATTACCGAGACGCATTGTGGCTCGGAATCCAATTTGAAGAGGGCGCTGAAGGATACAATACAGAAATCGTTGACAAATCAGAGAAAAAACAAAACAGGCCACGAACGGAATCATTATTGAAATTTCAGAGTAACGGGCAAACGAATAGGCCAAGTTTTACAGTTATAGGAAACGGTGCGAGTTGTGCCGTTGCATTGACAAAAGAGAACAACAACCTTATTCTCTAAGCCACTAATAGGTAGACTCAACGGAACATACCTGTTCCCTCTAATAACCTAGCCTCACTACGTTCTCACGCTAAAAAAATATCCGGCAAACAGGGTCGGAGAACAAGAAAAAAGAAATTCTTTATCCGTCCATACTCTGCAAAGTTTACGCTGGAAGATGATCTTGGTAAGAATATCAGTGCTGTGCATACAATGAAAGTGACGTTCTGAGTAAGTTGTGGAGTGTATCGAAAAGTCAGTAGTGCACTACCACGTATATGGTCTGGGGATCGAAGTGCCGAAATCTGTTCGGGTCAACTGAGCAATGAAGTTCAATGAATGTTATCACACTCATCTAACGTAAGGGGATAGAGTTACTGAGTTGCACATCAATTGACCCCTTCCCGTCTCCCCCCTATTATGGGGCTCATTATAGGATTGGTTTGCCATCCTATTAGAGCTTCTCTTTGGCTGACCATCACGTCAGAAATTTTTTCTCGCATAGTTATCAAAGAAAATTCTAGCATTATCGAGAAACCAAATTTATCTTGAGAATGACAGCATGAGCTATCTATTCTCTAGACTTTTATTAAACTGTAACGTTGAAAAGTTTCTAGACCTCTCTAGCCAGTCCCTTTATCCTTTCGTTTACAAAGTTCGGAATCAGAGATAGAGTCGAATGTCGACTGAGTGATTTGCTACAGCCATCAAAGTGCTCCTCGGCGTTGAATTACCGTTCTACTTACATGTCATTCAACAATTGATGCCTCACTACTGCCTACCTTTTTTTTCATTTCCGTACTTAGTTGAAGACTCACTTGAACCACTGATCTCGTCGTTCTTAAAAAATGCTTCGGAAGAGAAATGCAAATTGTGATGGCATTCTTAAAGTAAGAACTTTGCCAGCAGTACTACCACCAGTTCATCACTGATTTATTCTGAGCGTCACATCCCTCATTAATGCATCGCATCCAGTGTGCCACTCCTTTTTCTCGACTTTCTTTTTCTTCAAGGCTTTTTTGAGGAGCTATTCCTTTCACCTTCGTGTAGCGCGTTGCTCACCACTCTAGAATGAAATCGATAATCAAATAAGTAAACGAATTGTATCTGTCCTTCAAGTTCTGTTCTCTAACCATAAGTGCCAATTCTGCGAGGAGTGTGACGGAAAGTCTCAGAAAAAAAAGCTCAGCGGCCGCGGGGAAGACCACAAATCGCAATTGACTCCTTAAGTAAAGAGAGATATATGGGGAGAGAATAGAAGGCATTAGAGGCTTGGAAGTTTCAGATATCTCTTTTTTCGGTCCCCATCAAGGTGTTCCAGAGAATAACGGGTTATTCGTTGACTAACAGCGTAAGCTGTTAACGTTCTCCAGCTTTGTAGCACTCACTTTGTCATTCTACTTATTTCGGGAGTTTTCCGCATTTTTCTCTGGAAAGCCCAATGGTAACTTTTACAAATTGCTCATAAAAACTCTGCGGCTGAGCGTTTTCCCGGCCACACTGACGTAAGCGTTCGCCGGAATGTGGGAGTAATTGGAATGTGGCCTTTGCAGTATCCTTGATCTGTGATATGAACATTATTAAGGATGGTTGTCAAACGCTTATGTCAACTGATAAGAACTTCATTAAGGATGGCTATCGAAGGTGTCATTGTGGAGGAGTGTGATCCAACGACAGCAGTTCTGCGTCATCCTTACCATCGATACAATCGAGCAGCTCCACAGTCACGAGCCGCCAGCATGTACAATCCGAGAGTGTATTCCGGCTATTATGGGTCCCATGCATGTGAGTTTCCTATAAGCTCGGTGTCATTTCTGGTTTATATTATGCCTTCCATCTGACTGAAAAGAATTTTAACTCCATTCTTTGGTATAACATTTTGATTTGAATGTTTGCTTGATTTTTGATTGCTGATTTGAATGCACGGCGTGAGCTGGGGCCCAGACACCAAAAAATTGATTCAACAAATTTTTACTAAGGTCACTTATCCATTGTGAGTAAAACGTGGGAAGGTTTGTTTTCAATCTACTCCCAGGGAGGAAATAGGCCCTCCCAGCATCAAACTGCCACCTAGAAAATCAGTTCATGGCTTTGAACCCCCTAATCATTTTGTAGGAGTCTTGTGCTCTTTTCTAATTACTCGATTAACACATAGGGCCAGTTGTCTGGCTTTAATGGCGCTTGAATTCTGTGATATGTGTTCAGTATAGACCAACCCACGGCTCTATGTAATTGCCAAATAGTTTCCGCCATTCCGCCAAGTGTTCCGTATTGTGTAAGATTCTAAATGGTGCAATTCTCAGCTTTTACACCAAACAATCTGCTAAGTTTTTTGGAGCGATCTCTTATTGAGGTGACATCAGAAATGAAAAATATCCTCAAAAAACGAGAAAGGAGACCATAAATGTCATGAAAGGGCGTCTTTGCAGCGAAGAATGACGGCGTTTGGAGGTTAAGCCTGGGTTTATCTTTTTTAGCGCTCGCCATTCATCATCAGTAAGCTGTGATAGAATGGCGGCCCCAGTGTTCCGTCTAAAAATTGCCAGTGATAGATAGCATATGGAACGAAGGGAGTCATCATTCCCTTATTCAGGTGCAAAGAAAAGGGTCATTCGAGGGCAAAGGAAACTTCAGAAAGATGAGGGAAGGGGCGCTTCCCAGGGTTTTACTGAAGGTTGCCAGGATACCGGAAACATTACACCTACAGGCTGAAAAAGCCGGATTCGTCTGAATTCCGGAGGAAACTGTAAAAGGCATTGCATTTGTAGCTTAGATAGTCATCCTCAGTTTTCTCAGGTTCCACTACTTCTCATCAACCACGGTTTACTCTTGTTTTGGAGTTGTCCTCGTCGCACTATCCAGGAAGTATGCAATGACAACCTAATGAAGAAGATAGTATGCCTTCAATTTGGCACTACTAAGGATTTTGGGTCTTGAATTTGTCCGATTACCTGCTTTTCGTGCCAGGGAACCCAAACGCTTCCCGATGTAGACTTTCAGAATATGAGAAATGTCTGTAGTCTTTCGTAGAGGAAGAGGGATTCTTGAGCAGCCTGCTGCTAGTCGGCTAGCGCAGCACGTCGCTTTTTCCATGGTACTGTATTGTAACTAAGCAACTGTACTTCTTTGACGGACCAGACCATGAGCAGCAAAAGAATCAATCGAAAACCATCTCGGAATGAGTCGTGTATAGGAGCCGCTTGTTCTGATGTGGTAGGATCACATGCCAAAGCGTTTTCTCAGGCTGTCCTTTTGCGTCGCGTCGAGTTATATTAATTCGCTGATAGTGTCCTCTCGAGCAGCGATGTTGTTTTTCCCATTCTTCGAGTTCTATGACGATTACTGGGAGAAACTCACCCGAACGTTGCTTTAGCCTCTTTTCCATCTATCATTTTCTCTGCCAGTTTTCTCGGTTCAAATGAATCGGAAATCTTTCTCTCCATGAGCCTTCCACTGGTTTTTCTGGATTGAAATAGTTCCAACATCATCTAGGGCTTCTGATAATGTGCCTGATAAGGAATATAATCAAGCGTCCCTAGTCTGAGAATCTTCCCACACCCCGCAACCTTAATTATACAAGCTCATGGCTCGTTGCACTCATAAAAGGGTTCTAAAAGTTCGTTGAAGAGGCTATTCCGCCGCTTGTCACTGCCGTTTTTGGAGGGCGCCGTGATTGCGTGCAAGGGCCGGTGTGCCTCTTCGTCCGACTCGCCACATGTTGTCCGCCAGATGTTATTATCTCATTTGTGAGTGAGCGCGGGAGATCGCGCGCCTGAGAGGAGCAAGCGGGGTGCTGGATTGCCGTGTGGGGACACCGGTTATGTGTCTCATTTCGCGACCACCCATTTACGAACCACATTCACAGGCAGCCCACACAGTGACCCCATCACAAGGTAATATGACATGTAAGCGTTAGCGGCGACGTCGCCACTGCGCTGATTCGCCGGCGGTCGTCGTTTCCTGCGACGGCTTCGGGAGTGTGAGGCACATAATTAGCTGACGCTGACGGTTGCGCGCTCGTTCGCCCGCCTCGCCTCCTACTAGTGTTGAGGGTAGGCGGAGCGATCAATAGGAGTGTCCAGTGGATGGCTGGTGAGTCGCCATGTCGAAGCTCTCTAAGTCGGCTACATTCCACGACTTTTGTGAATCACCCGTGGCCCACAATGTTGCCATGCACGAAGCCGCGATTCGGGAGGCTGAGGCCGACCACGGGGACGGTACCGAGGCTGACGACGATAATGAAGAAGAACGGTCGGCATCGGCTCGTTGCAACCACGTCACTAAATCGGCCTCTGCCACGTCGTCGTTTGCCAACTGGCTAAGTCTCTTCGTCTCGAAAAAACGCACTCACAGGTCGTTCATTCGGCCGTCGATGTCACTGTGTAAGTGTTCTGATGGGGCTCATATGAAAAATTGGGTGTGTAAACCTCGGATACTCTCTCCTTTGCATTCATATTTTTGATTCTCACGAAGACCTTCTCTTATGGTCGATACTCTTATCTTACTCGGCAAATCTTGACTGCTCTATTTTGAAGACATCTGCATTTCACCGACCTAGTTATTTTGTCGTTTCCTTTAGAGCGGCTTGCTTTGTACGGAGTAGTTCCATGCGCACTTCGGCAGCAGATGTTCTACATCATCTGCTGTTGACAGCTCGTTCCCCACCAGTGAGAAAATTGAGTGCTGCCAGCAATGAATAGGCAGCAATCGATGCCATTTTTACTGTCATTTTTACGAGAATGTCGGAAAGAGTTCAAATTTTTATTGAATACATTCAATTCTAAATAGCTTTGATGTCAATGGGTGCTAGTAGCCGTTTTGAAGTTAATTTTATATCTTAAGCAGTTGTACAAGAGTCACCGGCTCTGGGCTCAGACGGCGAGAGTGTCGAGGTATCGCCGTGCACATCAGATCAAACTCCTACGGGTGTTCCTCCACGGTATATAGTCAATGTGAAGATGCGTCAGAAACCGTCCAGGAAATGGAGTGAGGTGGGTCCCTAGTGCTATGTTGTGGTAAATCCTATTCAGAATCAATTAGCATTTGTAGGAAGAGATCCAGAAGCGGTTATCGTTGCCAGCCGACCTGCGACTCCCTGTAAGTGTCGTCGAGAAGCTGAATCGAACCCCCACACTTGATCAACCGTTGACTCGAAAAAATCGAAGAGCTTCTTTGGTTCGTTCTGAGCGTTTTCATCAAAAAATATGCTAATGCAAAGCAAATTCATTTCAGAGCGAAATCGGCTTTGGTAAATTGGAAACGTACGAAAAGTTGGACAAACTCGGAGAGGGCACTTATGCAACCGTATACCGAGGACGATCACTTCTTACGAACAACTTTGTCGCACTCAAAGTAAGTTTGTGGAACTTTTTTCCCAATTCCTATTTATCTGGTCGACTTTCATCCTTGCTTATTCTTTAGAGGTGTTTACTTCCATTATCGATCAGTTTGTTTGTTTTTTCGTTTCCATTTCATCACAACCGCATCCACCGTTTATTATGTTTCCAAGCGATATTATACGTTTATGACGCAACATTGCTTCGCTTTTTGTTGTTTTGACAAACTGCCTGATTTTCGGTTTATTCCTCTGGTCGTCCCATCTGGTTCAACCGGCAGCATCCCCACTCGTCGTCGTTCCAAGCCGCTGTTTTGCATTCGCTAGCGCACGCGATGATGAGGTTTTGTCTGCCCCTTGTATGAATGTCTATGGATTGCAGTCAATTTAATGCCCATTTGCCTTTCTCGAGGTCGAATTACGAACGTCTTGAATGTCTCTGATTGATTTTGTAACTAATGGGTCTTTTCTCTGACTGGATCGCAAATTCACATTACCCATTTTACTTTTTTCTGATACCTTCCAACACTGTTCCCCCGCGGTTCCTCCCACACGAGCATATTTCATCGCTGACTGAATTATTTTCTTTTTGAGCAGCTAGGGGCGAAGGGGGTATAGTGGCAAGTGGGCTGTATCTCACACGCACGATCAGGGGTTCGAAACCCGGCTCAATATCCGCATAGGTCAACCAAGCCTACCATCTCTCCTAATTGGTACCAGACTCGTCTGGAGGATAAAAGAACTGACTTGCACCACCGCATGTCATAGTACGCCACTACGGTTCTGAATGGAAGTCGAGTGCGGGGCGCATCCCTCAGACAGGATGGAAAAACGCCAAAATTCAATCCTTCATCATCTGAGTGGCTAGATTAGAAAAAAATTCAGAAAAAAAACGTCGGGCAGCACTAGCGACTTCATGGAGGGAATATCACTAAGTACCCTCCATTATAGGGTTTTCTTTCAAGACGATTTTTCCTTCATAAAAAAGTCTTTGGCCCAAATGTCTGCTATCCTAACCTCTCCTCTCTTTATCGATGGCAACTATCCTTTCTTGAGCTGTTACCAGTTTCAATGGGGTTCGTTGGCCGGTCAATATGTATTTTTCTCCAAGTGGAAGAGGAATGAAATGCTCGCATTCTGCATATATGGCAGCCAGCGCAGCCGAGCATGCAGCTGCCTGTTGCCCCTTTCGGCTGTGTTCACATGTCACATGAATGTCAATGTCATGTCGAATGCGGGAATCATCCCAGCAATTTACTTTGACAACTGAATTGTATCCCCAAGTGAAGGGGACTTAATTAAATTCCCTCCATGAAGTCACCAGTCCTGCCCCAATGCCAAGCAACTGCATAATCTGTTCTGATTTGGGGCCGAAATCAGGCGACAGGCGATTGTTAGACGTGTTGCTTGGCGGTGTACCCGCAGCTGGTGCATGCTATTGTTGACTCAAGCTGCCATGACAGGCTCAATAGTTCAATGGGAATCCGTTTGTGGGGATGTTATCTTCCCAATAGACCATTCGATCCACTCTCTTCTTCTTGCTTTATCCAGCATTTCGTACACCCTCCCATGCCTCTTACTCGTCTGTGTAGGTCTTCTGGCAGTGCTAGCTGGTAGCGATGGAGCATTTGCATTCATGACCGTCTCGTCAACACACCCTCTCCAGCATACATCACAGGTTGCGTGCACATCTGCAGAGCATTCGTTGTTTACTTCAGATAGCTATGGAAATGGAAGTAGCGCAAATTGCATTGTCCAATCTGAGAAATATTTTGCACCTGAGTTGGAGCCATTTCAAAGCAAATCCGGCTAGTTTCTTGAACATTCATGGCTCCCTGATTCGTTGATTCTCACCGCGTTCTGTTCACTTTCATCGTGTTACCAATTCGATCACTTTATAACTTCCTGCAGCATACTCCCGGAACCTTTTCCTCGTGGAGACCTGATTTGCGCTCATCAGCAATACCGGGGCAGGACTGGGAAGTGTGTTCCAAATCCTATGCCTTCTACTAGTCGCTAGGGCGACCACCCTGTTTGACGTGCTCTGCACCCTCAAAACCCTGCTCATTATCGATGGAGTTCTTCACGTGCTAATATCATACTGCATAGTAAAAATAGATCAAATTGCCTTTATCCCAATGGTTGTCCCAGAATCATTGCTTTTTTTCTGATCACCTTAGATTACCTTAAATAGATATCTTCACCTTTGGTATGCCCCTATCATGAATTCAATGGAGGTTCTTTTTTTGACGGTTTTCTATAATTACCTCTTCCTTACCTCCACAGCCTTCTCTTTCCTATTCCATCCAACTCTTTTTTAAGCCATGCTCAAAGTCGAATTTATCTTTAGCTAAGCTACCCGACTGAATGTCCTTCACAATAGGTTTTTACCTTTTCACTCTGTTTCTTTGCCAACATATCTCAAGCGGATTAGCGGCGCTAGTCGCATGAAAAAAAACTGTTGCCAGGAGACATGCCAGTGTCAGCCCTTCAACTGGATTAAATCGTTTTTGACAGCTTCATTGCTCTCGAATAAGCAGAAGTCGAAAAGGAAGCTTAGGGGAATTCACGTTCAAAAAACAGAGTTTCACATAGGAGCCGTTTCATTTCTGCATGAACGGAGACGTATTGTCGAAGTGTCATCCTGACTTCTTGCTTGGTTCATATATTATCAAGCAACGAATGGTATTTTTTATAAAATGATTGCCCAGATGTGCCTCTAAGTCCTCGAATTTCGAAAGGGGACTTTCTATGAACTTCCCTGCTTTACGCAAGGTTTTTTAGAAGCAGTAAGACGAATAAGCAAATATATTGCGGCACCCATGAATAAACAACTAAATAAATAAATATATTATCAATCGGAGAAAGGTGTCGGTTTATGCCAAAAGATGTTAAATCAGGGCCTAAGAATTCTGCTGACTATTGCTTCTTTTTTGTCTGTTTCAAGCTCCTCCTTTCGTGAGCAAACTATTGGGAGACACCACACCCCAATTGGGAGACGGGCAGTAGGAACGGTCTTGTATAATCGATCCGCCGCACGCGGCAGTCGCGGGCTTTTTGCCTCACTATAACAGTTCTAGCGTTCGTCATACAGCTCAATCGCTATACGATTATCACTTGACATAATTCTACTATTGGTTCTTTTGTTCCTGTATTTCTTACTTGCCGCTGCACTCTGTCACATTCCTTCGCGCGCGACGTCACTCTCGCCGCGACGCGACAATTTCGATCCTACTGCACCACACCCCGAACGATTTTTGTAAACCCATATGAGGATCGTTTGTCAGATGATCTTCCATTTTAGAAACCCTACAGAAAACTTCTTGTTTTGGTTAGAAGCTGTCCTACAATCGTCGATTTCTTCGTAACGTTTTTGATTGAGTTGAACGAACAATGCTTTCTTTGTTTGTGCCGGAGTTCCTCTCCTCCTGTGGCTTCAACAGAAGATTGGGTTGTTGGTGAGAATGTTCTGTAATCATAATGTCTGCTAGCAAGTGATGGGATATATTGCTATGATAAACCTCCACTGCCCTTTTGTGATGGGATGCTCTGGTTATGAATGATGGCATATCGGTCACGTGGGGGAGCTCGCCATCTGTTAGCAAGTGCTGACTGCCAATTCTCAGCGGCACTTTTGAGTTGTTCAATCACAGGGTCAACATCGTACCCCGTTCAAAATCCTTCTCCGTTACAAATCAGGTTTATTGCCAGAGGACGAGATGGAACAGTGGCAAATGGGGCCGCTGTCCTTCGCATTGCCTTAGTTTTATGAATTGAATCAGATTCACTCCAGAATAATCGAGTACTTCAATCTTTCGAAATACAGTCAGAGGCTGATTTTTTGGGAAATGATAACGCCAATGCATCGGTCCTGAGTGAGCTAGGTATGCATTCGGGTCCTATACAAAATGAACTCAAGCATAGTTAGATTCCAATACGGCCGACCATCACCTGACACGTTTTCGTTTCAACTTTCCCATGTTTAACTCGAAATTCCGCTCGCTATGGAACTCTTCACAAGTTTCTTCTACTTCCCTTCCTTTTTTTTCAACAGGAAAAACTGCGGTCTCTCCGTTTTTTTTAAAGAACTGCTTCGAGTTTAAGAATCAAAAATTCTTCTTAAAAACAAAAGAATCTATTTAAGTTCAAAAATGCTATTTAAATTTAAAAAAAACTTAACATTTTGAAAATCAGAACATGAAGTAGAACACATACTTGCGGGGCCACCCTCTATCGAAATGGATGAAAATGTGAGCTAAGTCAGGTTATACACCTGCATAAATGCTCCTCTCTGTTGGGTTTCGACGTGGGTTCAAGGTGTTGCCGTGCGTTTTTCTCACCCGAACCTTTTGCATACTCGATGCTGTTGAGGATAATTTGTCGCTAATTTTCTCCTTTGTCGCTAAACGATTAGTGCTGCTTGAGATGGCGCCTATGGAACACGCTAATTAGTGATTCCACGCGACCGCTCTTCCGTTCATTGACGGTTGCTTCTTGCCGCTTAATGTGGCTTTGAAATTCTATAGTGAAATCAGCCTCTACATCGGCTTCATGGAAAATTTTTTCCTCGAGAAAGATCTTCTGAGCCCCAAATATACACAGCTGAGTCTATGCATTGCAGGAAATCCGACTAGAACAGGAAGAAGGCGCTCCATGCACGGCTATCCGAGAAGTGTCATTGTTACGGAATCTCCGTCATGCTAACGTTGTCACCTTACACGACATCATCCACACCGATCGATTGCTCACTCTTGTAAGTGTTTTTGAGAGCCTTCCTTTTCGACATCTGCCTCCTCCTGGAACACCTCGAATTTCCCTGAGTGCTTGCGTGATTTTGGCATGTGCCCTTTATTGAATGTAGCTTGTTATGAGCTTTTAACATGCCTCAGCGCTGAACAGCAAACAGCTTTTACCGCTAGTTCATTAGCGCTGAAGGCTGTTCCCTTTCTACTTAGACTCTGTTGCCCTTCTAGAGCACCAAATGGATGATCACCGTTTCCTTCCTCTTTTAGGGCTCCTGCGACTATCCGTTCACTACCCATCCCTCATTCCCACATCACAATACATCCTCTACTTCTTCCCTTTTCAGGTATTCGAGTATGTGGATCGCGACCTCAAGCAGTATATGGACGCCTGTAATAACGTACTCACGATGAATAACATCCGGGTGTGTTCAGCCTTTTTGTTTTTCGACGATATTTTTTTACGTGGTGCTTTTCGTTTTTAACTATTTTCTTTTGAATACTTTGTCTGCCTCTGTCTTTTTTTCACACAAAGCCACCTATTTGCTCGATATGCAAGTATGATGTAGTATAATTGGCCCTTTTTCAGCTATTTCTTTTCCAACTGTTACGGGGTTTGGCTTACTGTCACCAACGCCGAGTACTGCACCGTGACCTGAAGCCACAGAATCTTCTAATTACCGCGAAAGGAGAGCTCAAACTGGCTGACTTTGGTTTGGCCCGAGCCAAGTCTGTACCGACAAAGACGTACTCGAACGAGGTGGTGACGCTATGGTATCGCCCTCCGGACGTGCTCTTAGGTAAGAATTTGTAATTTGATTCAAGCTGTGTTCTGCTACGAGTGTTCAAGCTTGTACTCTTTGATGTTGTTTATGTTGGAATTCTCTGATTCCACTTGGTATCTCGGGAATTGAATCAGAATTGCTCTTTACGCTGCATTCACGGCCATAACAACCAACC